CCCGGAGGCCACGCGCAGGCCCGGAGGCCACACGCCAGCGCCCGGAGAGGCAGCGGAACGCGGAGCAGAGCCCCGGCCGCACAGGCCCCGCTGCCGCCTCACAGGGCCCGGGGGGCCCATGCCCTAAATATTGTTTTGATGATCATAAGACTCATTTTTTTCCATCCAGGTAAACATATTATAGCAAGTCTAGCTGGTGTCAATGACATCATTCTTTCTTTTTCTTCCTTTCTTTCTTTCTTTTTTTTTTTTTTGCTTTAGGGTGTGTGCACTCACCAGAGACAGAAAGTGAGAAATCACCCCACAGGGGGATGACCATGTTGTAATCCCTTCTCCTCCATTCTCCTCTCGTTATCTTGGGTATGCACGCACATGTGCCTGGCATGAGTTTAAGCCACCGGGTCTGAGACTCAAACCGCGGCTGACTACATGGGAGTCCAGCAACATAGCCATTACACTATCTGCTGGTCTTGACATCATTTTTTCTTTACTCTATTTGTCCTTTATTCGGGCTCACTTTTGCATACTTTTGTCTAAATGTTGCTTTTCTATGCAGAACTCTTCAGTGCTTTCCTCTTACCACCCTTGAGGTACAAGTCTTACTGAGCAGCTTCCATGCTGCCTCATTTCCTATCAAATCTCTGCATTCCCTGCCACTCTGCCCAGGTGCCAGATCACCAGCCATGCCCTCTCCTTGTAACCCTGGATTTGTGTGGTCCTTCTCTCCTTCACTGAAATGAAAAAAACGAGATGGTGGAAACATACGTAATCATATATAAACATGCGTAATTTAATCCCTCCACAGCATTTTTTCAGTTGCTAACGGTGGAAGCAGGGAAGAATGTGGTGGAAAGGTACAGGGGATTTGAAATAAAAAAAATTTTCCCTTTATCATGTAGAATGGAGGTACTTTCCTTTGCAAGAAGTGCTTCGCTGTCCCTCATGAACAACATGGATGGCAAGGTCTAGGATCATTTAATCATAGCACATAGTTGAGCCACTTCTCCTCAACAATGTATCATAAGTTGTACCCTGGAATTTATTTCTTACATCTGGTCATGAAATCTGCCCAGGACTTGCTATTTGGCAATGTTCTTGCCACAGAATAAAGGATAGTTTTTAGTCCCCTTAAAAAAGAAGTTGCCATTGGATAGCAGGGCTATTATGTGTAAGTCTATCCAATATTTTGGACTTTGGTCAAACATATCATTGTCGGTTCCCTCTACACCAAGAGAGGATCATGGACTTAGGAAGGTCATGTATCTCTTCTTGGAACTTTAAAACAGTTTGATGGACACAAAGAGAAATCTCTCCATGGGAGACATGATAAACCCACACATGTCATAGGTGATAATTAATTACTGCTCTGTTGAGACAAAAACAAATTGTATTAGGTAAAACAAACAAACAAAGAAAAACCCACATTCTGACTGATGTTTCTTACATATTTCAACCTTTGAATCATTGTTTTCTGAAAAGAATCTATTTAATATTTTAGAGACTTGGCAAGGACAAAACTATCTTCACAATCTTTGGATCCTCAATTCCCTGGAAATATTGCCTTATAGGGATGTTGGAAGGACTATTATAACTGTAAAGACAGCATATTCCTTGTGTTTGAACGGTGGCCTAGCAGTAATAAGCTGCATGACCTCGGGAAAACTCACCAACCTCTCTGAGCTCATTTTCCCTCATGGGAAAAATGAGGATTAAAGTAGATGATTTAACTCAAGATCTTAACACTGTGTCTGGCATGTGGTCAGTATCCAAAAAAACTTCCCTGAGTAGTACTAGTGCTGGTCTTAGTAATAATGAATACTAAGAAAAAGAAAGGTAGATCACCCAGGCTTTCTACAGATGATTACAATATCTACTTGGTTTTGAGGTTAACCCCAAAGTTTCTGAAAGGTGACAAACTCAGAAAAAAGTAAAACAGTGTAGTGTGGCACTATCAGGGTCATTTTCATCAAATAATGTGCATTTAGGGACCAGCAGTTAGCGTAATGGCCATGTCGCTGGACTCCCACGTAGTCAATCGAGGTTTGAGTTCCGGACCAGGTGGCTTAAACCCACGCTGGATGCGTGTGCGTGCATGCCCAAGATCCCAAGAGGAGAATGGAGGAGAAGGGATTGCGGTATGGCCATTCCCTCTGGGGGGTGATTTCTCGCTTTCTATCTCTCTGTCTCTGTCTTTCTGGCGAGTGCACACACCCAATAAGAAAAAACTCTTCAAAAAAAAAAAAGAAAAAATAAATAATGTGCATTTAATTCCTGATTATATTTTTTCTTGCTAATCACTTGTCCTTGAATAACAGACTCCTCCACAGTAAATCAATCAAGGAGAATGTTGCCCACCACTGGCATCACAGGCCGAGGCTTTCAGTGAGGTGCCTGGAACCACTAGGCCTCCAGGCCTTCGAAGCTCTCTCTGCATTAGGGTCGGGACCTGTCACCCGGAATGCTCTCCAGGAGGGACAGCCAAGAAGAGGACTCTACAGTCCAAGGCCAGGGAGGCACGTGAAAGCTGGGCAGCGCGGGTGGTAGGAGGTGGAAGCAGAGACCCCCGGGGGCCTTTGTTGGCAGCCTGCGCAGGCTCTGCACAGCTGAGGAAGATTAAAGCCAAGGACGAAGGCAGGGAGCATGCAGGGTGCTCAGGGCCTGGTACCCAAGACTCGGCGCTGCTCCAGACCGCACGGAGATGTGAAATCAAGGGTGAGAGATCTCAGGAGGATTACGCAGGCTGCAGAGGGCGCTCCTAGGTGACAGCCAGCACCACGGGCTGCCGCCACCGACCTGACGTGGAGGTCGCGCTCTCTCGCTCAGCTGGGCCGATCCTGCCTTGCCCCGACCTTTCCGACTTCAGCTCCCACCTGGCTACTTGTGTCAGGGCTGCAGGTCACAGGAGCTCGCTCCACTGAGCCTCAGCCTGGACGCGGTTCCCCCAGCTCACGAAGGACGCCGAAGCCGTCCCAGAGCCGCAAGGCGGCGCCGACTCGCAGGTTCAGGCGTTCTCTGCTCCGGAGGCCCGCGGTCTGGCCCTGGGGGCTGAGCTGCAGCCAAGAGGTGCACAGTGGTCGCTCAGCGGGCACCGAGGGTTGGCGAGCGACGACCACGCCCTTCACGCGGATTGGCCAGGCGCCGGCCAAAGCAGGCACAAGATCTGGGAACCAGCGGGGTGGGGCGGGCAGGGGCTGCAGAGGGTGACCGGGAGTCCGGGAGGCGGGCTCTGACCCGGGAGCACCTGCCTCCAGGCCGCGCCTTCCGCTCCAGGCCAATCAGCCTGCGCAGGCCGCACCTGCTCCTAGGCGACAACCACTTCGGCTCTGTGGCTGGACCTCCCGGGCAGGTAAGCCCTGGGGCAGGCGGGTGTGTGGGGTCTGGACGGCTCCTGCGGCGGCGGCCTCTGTGGACCCAGGGTACTGCGCGCCAGTCGGGTTTCAGAGAAGGCGCCTGTGGGACCAGCGGCGCCGCCAGGGTTGGCGGGACCAGGGTCAGCAGCGGGCTCAGGGTGGGAGCTGCACACAAGGGAGATCACTACACCAGACCCGCAGACGCCCTTCCCCGGCTGCTCCCACGCAGCAGCCTCGACTCCCCTTGCCTCCTGCCATTTGAAACCGGAAAGCCATACTCTTTGGGCTTTAGTCAGTTTGGCGGCCCTTTTGTTAAGAAAAAGTTTAAAAGGCATTTCTTTGGCTGCTGGTGAAGTGCTGGCCTTGCCGAGCACCCGACCTTGGCCTGGTAGGGTACCTCCGGGATCCCATGCCCTCTGCCTGCAGGCCCTACCCCTAGGTCCCAGACCCGTCTGGGAGACCCAGTCTCTGGACAGTTTAAACTGCAGCCCAACCCAGGCAGATGACTCTTCTTTGGGCCACTCTCCCTCACTTGTGCCCTCTGTCTGGGTGAGCTGTCAATCCACTCACTCCCAATCAGAGCCCCTGATGCCTCTTAGCTTCCCCTGCAGCCTCCTCAGAGTGGACAGTCATCCTACTTTCCTGCAGTGAGAAGTGGGTGGTGGGTTATCTGCACCAGGGCCCTGAGCTTCATCTGGTGGTCCTCTCAGCTCAACTGGGTTTGAGGGTATGGACTCCTCTGCAAACGACCCAGCCAGAGTACCTATCCCTGGAATCCTGGAGGGCAGGGGCCTCCTTAGTATATTGACTGCTTGGTCAGTGTTCCTTTTGTCTCTTGATTCTAATTGCTTTTTAATTTTATTTTAGTTTTTAGATTTTTGCCTTAGGGCCCATGAGAAAGCAAGGAACCCTCCACATGGCCACACTCCAATCCCTTCTCTTCCCTTTTCCTCTTGGGATCTTGGGTCCACATGCACACATGCCCTGTGTGATTTTCAAACTGCAGAGTCCAGGACTTGAACCACATAGTTGGCCACGTGGGATCCCTCCACCTTATCCTCCATGCCATGTGCTATGTCTTTAAACTTTGGAGTAGATGGATGTGTTTGGTGTAAAGTTTGTGTTTTTGTTGATGTTATTTTTTTTGGTTTTGTTTTGTTTGCTGATCCATTTGCACCATCAGCTGTAAGCATTTGTCATAAAGACCACTTTGTGTGTCTTGAACTGCATTTGTTCTTTTGGCCAAGTTCAGCTAATTGTGTTTGTCTGTTTAGGTTTTTCTATTTATCTATATGTCTATTCTTTCTCCAGTACTTGGATCTCTTTATTAGTATGGTTTTAATAAATCTTGAAGTCAGGAAGAGTAATTCTTCAACTTATTTCTTTTTCAGTATTGTTTAGATTACTCAAGGTTGAAAAGAGTTTGTCATTATCTATAGAGTAGATTTCCGAGATTTGTGTGTGTGTGTGTGTGTGTGTGTGTGTGTGTGTGTTTGTTTTTATTGGGGTTTAACATAGGCTGGAAATACCACTTTGGGCATGCCTTTCCCCCAAGAATGAACATCCATTCGAATCTTCCTGGGCATGTTTTGAGAGCCTTTACATTTTTTTAATGCTGCTCTTGCTGCCAGCAGCCTCTTTGGGTCCACTGCTGACTGGCTGCTCCTTGGAAGAGAATTTCCTTTTTTTCTTTTCTTTCTTTTTTTTTTTTGGAGAGGTTTTTGCTACAGGGCGCGTGCGCTTGCCAGACAGAGAGAGAGAGAGAGAGAAAGCGATCAATCACCACCCCCCAGGGGGGATGGCCATGCCGCAATCCCTTCTCCTCCATTCTCCTCTCGGGATCATGGGCACACACGCACACGTGCCCGGCGTGAGTTTTAAGCCACCGGGTCTGGGACTCGAACCGCAGTCGACTACGTGGGAGTCCAGCGACATAGCCATTACACTAACTGCTGGTCCCTCCTTTTTTTCTTAGGGACACTCCTGTTGGCTGCCTCTTCAGGATTACTGACCGTTTCCTCTTTGGGTGAAATTTTTTTCCTCTTAGGAGACTTAAACTGCCAGCCATTTCTTCAAGATCTCTACTAACCACTTCCTCCTTGGAAAAATATTTCTTTTTCTTGGGTTTGGTGGGAAGAGAGAGCTGGATCTTTCATTCCATTCTCCAAGGAACCTCCTGGGGCTTCTGCTTTTTCTTCTTTTTGGGCTTTTCACCCATCTCCTCACACTCCTCTGGAGTGCTGCTGCTGTTTTCCGAAGATGCCAGGGCAAGTGCAGCCAGTTGTTTCTTCTCCTTCAAATGCTTCTTCTTGTAATCTCAGTGGCAGCTTCCTCTGCCTGAACCATTGCCTCCTTCATGGCATCCAGGTTCTTTTGTGGAATCTCTCCAGTCTCATATAAGGAGAGCCCCTCCTTGAGTTCTTGAAGCTTCTCCCCAAAGACACTTGTGGGCACCAGAGCAGCGGTCTGGGAGGCAATGCTGCTTCAGTTTGCCAGGTATCAGGAGATATAGCCCTTGTTCTTGGCAGCGGCTTGGCCAAAGAAGGTAGTGTGGAAAATGAGCCTGTACTTTGGAGTGTTACCCCGTATCTTCAGGGCCCTGATCTGGAAACTTGGTCCCTTTGCTGGGTCCTGGGGATTGCTGAGATTTTTATTGGGATTGTGAGGAAATTTGTTGATCAAATCGGGAGGAACTGACATCTGAATACTGTATTTTTTTATTTTTAAGAAGGAAAACTTAAATTAGTTTTATTTTTATTTCTTTCAACAGATTTTCATAGTTTACTCTCTCTCTCTCTATATATATATACACACACACATATGTAATATATATTTACATTAATGCTTGGGACTGCTCTTTCCTTCCTTCCCTTCCTTTCTCCTTTTGTGTGGGAAGGGAGAAGGGGAACTGAAATAGTTATTGTTTTCATCTTATCTTCCAATTATTCACTACTGGTCTGTAGACTAGAAGCTTGCTTTGTATATTCACTTTCACGTGGCTTCTTATTTTTATTTCATGTTTTAGAGACAGAGTGTCACTAGGACTGGCCTTGAGCTTAGATTCTCCTGCCTCAACCTCTGGAGTAACTGAGATTACAAGAATATACCACCTTGGCTTCTTATCTTCATCAATTTAATTCTGGCAGTGGTTTCCAGTAATGCTTGGAGTTTTAAAATTTTTAGCAGCGAATTTCGGAGATTCATTGCAAAAGGACCTGCAGTGAACATCATTGATCGCCACTTCCCCACAGCCCTGACAGTCCTGTGCTGTGCTGTAGCCAGCATGGACGCCCAGACCCGGCTTTGCTGCTCTCCCTTTATGAACGCATGCTCTGCTTGCAGCCCTCTGCACTGTGCCCACACTAGGGACCTACCTGAAGAGGCACCCTGCAGTTTCTCAGTGACATGGGGCTGGGTCCACAAAGGAAAGTGTTTCTGTCGCTGCCCTGACTGCTGGGGGAGGATTTGCTGGGGCTTCTTTTTACGGAGTGGGTGCAGAAGCTTCCTTTTTCTCCAGTTTCTCACTGAATTATTTTATTCACTGTAACTGCTTGTTTTTACCCTTACTCTACATCTCTGTTAGCCCACCCTCTGCCTTTGGTAACCATCATTATGCTATCTATTTCTATTCATTTAATTTTCTTTTATACTTCAGATTGTGAGGAATGTCGTGCAATGTATTTCTTTCAGTGTCTCACTTGTTTCATTTGATGTGACCTCCTCCAGTAGCATCTGGAGGATGAAAATGGCAGAATCTCCTTTTCTACTTGTATTGCTTTATCCATTTTTGAGAGATTTTTTTTTCTATAGGCACGTGTGCTTGCTGGAGAGAGAAAGACAGAAAGTGAGAAATCACCTCCCAGGGGGAATGACCATGTCACAAGCCTTTCTCCTCCATTCTTTCTCAGGATTTTGGGCATGCACGCACACACACCTGATGTGAGTTTCCAGCCACTGGGTCTGATACTCAGATGGAGGTCAGCCACATGAGAGTCCAGTGCCTTAACCATGATGCCCCATGCTGGTCCCAGAATCTCCTTTTTGACACAGATACTGTTTGTTTTTAACACATTTTTTTTTTATCCCATCATTCACATTCCTCATCCCACATTTAGAGCTATTTCCATGTCTTGGTGAGTAATGCTACAGGGACCTAAGAGTGAAGATATCTTTATCAGGTGCTGATCTTTGTTCTTTTGGCTGTATACCCAGTAGAAGCATTGCTGGGTCATGTGGTCATTACATTTACATGATCAGAACCTTCATGCTTGCTTTTGTACCAACTGCCCTGATCCACATCCCTACCCTCAGTGTACAGAGGTGCACTTTTCTCCACACCCTCACCAGCACTGTTCTCGTGTCTTCTCCTAACAGCCATCCTAGCAGGTGTGATGTGACTTCTCACTGTGGTTTGGATTTCAATTTCTCTGATGATTAGTGATGCTGAGTGCATTTTCTGACACCTGTTGACCAGTGTTATGTCTCCTTTTGTGACATGTCTATTTATGTCCTTTGCTCACTTTTATTTGCTTTCTTTTTCTTTTTTAAGTTTTTGATATTGGGCACATGCACTTGCCAGAGGGGGAGAGAGAGAGAAAAGAAAAAGAAAGTTAGAAGGTTCCCTTCTCTATTCTCCTCTTGGGATTTTGAGCATGCTCTTGCTCAGAGTGATTTTCCAGCTGCTGGGTCCAGGCATGGAACTGTGCAGTTGGCCATGTGGAATCTAGCCACCTTTACCACCACACCACCTGGCTGGCCCAGTACTTTCCCATTTTAAACCAGGTTATTCATTATTTATCTACTGAGTTGTGTGAGTTTCTCATATATTTTGGTTCTTTGTTTATATTTATTTATTTATTCTTAGGTTTTTGCCATAGGGCATATGTACTCACCAGACAGAAGGAAAGTGATAAATCACACTCCCCGGTGAGATAGTCAATCCACAATCACTTTCTGCATACTCTTCTTGAGATTTTGGACATGCATTCACACGGGC